TATTTTCGTCTATTTCGATCATAACTTGATAATTCGATATCTCAGTCCAGAAGAGCCATGCACCCAAACCCTTCTAGACTTTTTCACTACTCAGTAGGACCTATCGAATGGCAATGGTCCCAAGCGAAAAGCGATTTAACACCTAAAGAGGTTCCCTCGTTAATAAAATAGGCATCAGAATTCGACTTATCGGATCCTGTAGGATATTTTTAATTCTGGTGATTTCCGGAGCTCGGACGGTCGACCGGATTCGGAGACCGGAATCCGCTCAATTCTTTCGCTTCCCGATATCTGGATCCTGGAGGATCCGAAGATCGAATCCGAAACCCTGATTCAGTCCGATCCACCGGCTTCCGGTAACCGGAAATAGCCTGAACTCATAGTAAAAGATTGATTGATTTTCTTTTAAGTAACATAAAAGTTTTAAGATGTTAAGTGCAGAGAACAATCAGGAATAATCGGGAACCAATTATTTAATGTAATAAACGTTACTTAAGCGCCTTAGAGTGGTATAATTGTTTGCCTCGAAGGCGACATCTTTCCTTTTTAATTGGCTTTTGTCTCTTCTCTTTTCCCACTTTTCAATTATTTTTAGCTAATGGTTCAGCTACATCTCGTTAACTTAAACAAAGTCTGTCGTCGAAGTTATCTTACATTACTCACAAACAAACTTACAAACATTTCTGCGAATAATTCTAGTAGATTATTTTATTTTCAAAACAAAATAATCGAACATGAAAGAACTGAAACAACTTTGGTGAGACTAAATTTCTTTTTCTACCTATTGCTGCGTTTTTGGATGTGTTGAAGGTATTCGTGAGTGGGTCTGGCAAACCATTCTTGAAGAAAAGCATCTTCATAACAAGCAAAGGGCTTTTATATCAAAATTTTCTAATAATTTATTATTTTATATTGGAGCTCGCATCTATTCAGCATTTTTTAGTGCATTCTGACAAAACTTATTTTTGTATTATAATAATGTTTTACCTTATATTTTCTAAGCAAAGAAGATCTTGTTCGTACCACTTTTGACTTATAGGTTCGACTTTAGCTGCGATAATGTTCTATTCTAGGCAACTTTTCGATTAGAGCTCGTTTATCCTTTCTAGTATATATTTTGTTATGAAAACAAGCGTTTTTGAGCTCTGCTCCGATCCTTCTTTCGTGATAAATTACTTTTTGCAAGAAAAGATTTTGAAGTTTTCTAAAAAGAAAAACACATATTTACATTTACTGCAAGTTTTTTTAATACGATAAATAAAAATTGAGGATGACACCTGTGAAATAAATATAGATTTTTGATAAAAGAAAACATTACGTTCTGGAAGAGCGTGCTGTACATTTGTTTATTTTTTATTTTTGTTGTCTTTGTTTAGAACAACTCAAATATCTTTTAATGGACTTTGATCTAGAAGATGCCATTGCTATAGCTGAAGAAAGAAAACAATGAAAAGCTGCTAAAAATACCCAACGTAAAAGACAACAGCGGAAATCAGATGAACCATCACCACCATCCACTTGCTTATCATCCAACACTAAAATAGGGGGATCTAGTTCTATCATAACAGTCGCATTTCAACCGCTCCTTACACCACCAACATCCGCACCAACAACTATTACTACTAATTCTACATCGGCAATTATTAGTGAACCAAATGAGGACGATGATGTTATCTATTTTGATAAAAACGAAGAAAATAATTTTAATACGCTAGAAAATAACAATGATAATAATAATTCTATGGATTTTGAATCACTTGATGCTCCATCTCCTGTAGATACTAAACCTTTGCATGCTTATACATCTTTAACAGCAGATGAATTTTGTTCGAATCTATTGAACGTTTTCCGTGATTCAAATGTCTGTAAATCACATTCTGATCGTCTCTTATCTCTAATTCAGTCAGCATTGCCTGCTCCAAATAATTTACTTCATTCAATGGAAAAATTGCTACAACAATTGAATATTGACGCTAATTTGTTTCGCAAAAGAGTGTGTACAATATGTAAAAGCAGTTTACCATATTCAGAAAATCAATGTCCAACTTGATTTTCTGAGTTTATCAAACGATCAAAATTTGGCTTACGTTTATGACACAGACATAGAAAAATTGATACAAACAATCGTAAAACGATTTTATAATGGCATTAACGAGTATGGTCATCTATTGAAGAACATCAATGATAACAATCATTCAACAAGATCCAGCAAAATGCAATCACTAGAACAAGGAGGAACCAGACGGATGAAACAAGTGGATCCTGTCGGATCATTTCCGGCAACTTCCGTTCCCGAATCCGGGCGCCAGGATTCCGCCATAATCCTCTATGGATTGCATCAGTTTTTGCCAGATTCCTACAACTTCAGGCATCCTCCGGTGTCGGATCCAGCAGGTTCCTTAAGGAACCTGCATCTGGAATCATAGACCTGGGCTGTGAAGTTTCTTTTTCTTCAAAAGGAGAAAACTCATTTCAAATGTATTAAGAAACAGCACCAACATATTCGAAAGTTTACGATAATTTTTTGAGAAACTGATTCGCATAAGATGCTTAATTCAAGAGATTCGGATTCGTTAAGTCGCTTAATTCATTCAAGTTGCTTATTCATCAGATCGGCTTATAAAAGCCTGCATCATTATACGAACATATTTTCAATAAGTATTCAGAGAAGAGAATCGGTAAGAAATGTATTAATCGATGCATTCATTCAAAGCGGCATATATTAACTGCTCAAACAAACACTCGAAAAAAAACAGTTTTTTAATTTCTATCTGATTAAACAAAATCTGGAATCAGTGATTATTGTTCGTTTTTCTTAAGTGCATAAATATAAAAAAAGGAAGTAGAAACTGTGTTTTCTATATATTTTGGTGGACCACAGTTATGAATAATCTATGTTTATTTACTGCTTTTATTAAAATGAGGTACGATCCCCATAGGAAGTGGATAGTGTATGTAATTAGCTGAACCAAAAGATGGTATACTTCATATTAACTGATTTAAAAATAATACTTTAAATTCTTCAAGAGCTGCATACATAGAATTTTAACATCCTGCTTGATTTAACCAAAGTAAGTTTATCAAAGCTAGCTAAAATAACCTCTTCCTAGATGCTGCTTTTTTTTAAATCAGCAGGTAACAGACAATTATGTTCAGCCATCTGTCACATTGGCTGTCGCTGATGTTGATTGGCATAACAACAACCGTCGTTAACCATAAGAATCTTCCGGGTCTTGACTTTCTTCCCTAGTCGACCGATCTTACGGCAATTCTATAGAAATCTTATAAGAATCTTATATAAGGCAGTCGATGGCAATGCGTAATTTATTGATAAGATTCTT